AAAAGAAGTAAATTAAATGAAATAGCAAAAATGCAGATAACAATTATGTAGAGAAATAACGTCTAAGTATAATAAAATGAAGCAAAGAAGTTAAGCAACAAGAAACAAAAAGAAACTACAAATGATTGCAAGAAAAATGTAGCACAAAGTGAACAAATTCTGCAGAATTCTGCAACAAAAACATAACAAAATGCAACAAAATTTAAAGGTGTATAATGGTGAAGTTAAAAACGCAAAAATTGGCAAAAAAGTTGTAGAAAAATAGTAAAATTATGTACCTAAATGCAGAACTATTCTATCTATTGTGAAGCTATATCAATGCCAAAATATTCAAAAAGTAGAAAATTGAAAAAAAGAGAACATTAAAACAAATTGTTTGACAAGTTCAATGCAAAATTAACACTTAAGTCCCCGACAACGGTGCCAATTTGATGAATGAAAGATTTGTCGCAAATCCTCATCAAAATATCAACAGAAATTAATGTAATACTAAGTTGCTAACCTAGGTCATCTCGGATGACGATGGTTGAGAGTATACATCAAACATGTTATAAACATTAACTATGAAAGTAATAATTGAGGAGGGGTTTGTGTGATTCCAAAGTTAATATAAAGAGCAAGAAACAAAATTATAAAGTTCAATCAATAGAAAGTGGTAACCCATAGTTCATTCATGTAGATTTTATGCCTATTCCTCTCAAGATTTAATACTCTTCCTCTTCTCCTAGAATTAGGTTAATTTAATAAGTGAAAATCAACCTTATATTTCCATATGAATTAAGCAATTCAATGAACTCCAATCTCTTATTCCAAGATTACGCAATCTTAGAAATAAATCTAGAATTAAGCAATTCAAGTTTAGAATTTAATTAAAACGAATTGGGGTTCATTACACAATGTCCCCCTCATTCAACCATTAATTCAATTCAAGAGTTTCGGAGGAAGAAATTCATGGAAGAAAAAGAATTATATTAACATTCAAAACCTAGGAATTCAAGAGTATAAGTGAACTCTCTAGAGATTACAAAAAGTTTAGCTCTCCATGAGGATGAGTCTTACAATTATCAAATAAAAATAAAGAGAAATAACAATATTAATGCAGAAATAAAAAAAAAATTAGGAAGAAGATGGAAATCAAACCCTAGGTTGGGTCCTTGGCTGTCACCCAAACTGACCTAAGCTCTGCAAGTGTTCCTAAAATGGCAAAAATTTAAAAGTGAAAAAAGATCTTAACCTTAATTTCTAAAATTCTATTTAGAGTGCAGTGGTTGTCGCCTATAGTAGCTACTATGAAAGTCATAGTAGCTATACACAGCCTCCCATCCTGTCATCCCTTTCTAGAGTGTTCACTATGGATTTCAAAGTGGTTACGCACAGGCTCTCTTTAGTCTGGGTCTCTGTAGTGTCCACTATCACTCTGAAAGTGATTACTTTGGTCTGCTATCTGGATCAAGCTTGCTGTAGTGTCCACTATCACTTCTTGCACAATTATTTAACTGATCAAAATTGTAAATTATATCTATGTAAATTAATGTAAATTAACCAAAAATTAAGAAACCTATGGTATTTGACCAAAATGATGTTTTTATGTTATTTATACTTCCCAAGTCTACTTTTTCTATCAAGGAACACTAAAAAGACAAGTAAAAATCTAATAAAATGTGGATTCATCAAACATAAATACATATAAATCTTGATAATTTATAAAACATGATGACAGAGAAGCAATATGTTAATATTATAAATTATACAAATATTGTATATTTTTATCTATTTAATATAAAATTAATTAAAAATATAATTCACTAACTATGAAATAAGAGCAAGTTAAAATACAAATATATAATCAAATTATATAATATTTTAAATTTATGCAATATAATAAGATATAATAATGTTAAAGAACAAATATCATGAATAAATAAGTAAAATGCAAACAATAAAATAACATAAAAAATGGTGAGACTAAATATAATATAATTGAAAGAATAAAAGTTTATATTGTATTTAAATCAATTTTAATTATCTGTTATTATCATTATTTCTTAGAAAAATTAATAAATAAAATTAAAAGAGCTAAATTTAAAAATAAAAATAAAAATAAAAAATAAAATATTTTTATCTAAGATAGGCTAAAATAGATAAAATAAAATAAAGGCTAAAAGTAACATAAATAATATCCCCTATTTTTTAGATTAAAAAAAAAAAGTTGTTGTTTGATGAATTTTGAGCCACTTAATGGAACAAAAAATAATTCAAACAAAAAAAATGTTTCTATTTAGTGCATTTTGGGCCATTAAATTGGATAGTCCAAAAAAATGGTGGAGGGAAGGGGTTTTCATGGTGGATGAATGAAATCAAACTTGATGTTCTTAGATCTTTCTTTTTGTTTTTCTTTGTTCTTAGGTCAAAAAATGATTTTTTTTTATAATATTAACTCGTCGAATATTTAAAAAAAAAAGATGAAACGTAAAATGTTATCTAAATTAAAAATGTTAATTCAAGACATAATAGTATAGTTTATTTTTAAAAAATAAAAATTTAATTTAGAGACTAATTTCAAAAAACTATTTTTTATAAACTAATTACTTTTTAAGCTTTACTGCATTTGAAGCTAGCATCCTACATAGCAAGTATGATATAAAATATTGTTTGTTTAATCATTATTTAACGATTCTTAGTTGACAATAAGAATTGTTTCAATAAAAAAAATATATTGAACTAAATCTAATAATTTTTTTTCATAAAGACTAATTCCAAGGAAAGGTATACTTTTAGAGGATATACTTATTTAAGCTTCCTAATTTAATATATCTTATGCTTATTTAAATAGTTTATATGAAATGATATTAGAGATTTCAAATACTCCTTTTACTATATTCAATAGATATAATTATTTAGAAATTAAAACTCACCCCTTTGATCTCTAATATGAGAAGCATAAATGAATTTTAATATAGTTTATCTAGAATACCAAAATTTTAAGCAATTTTCCATGCAATAGTCATAACCCTAGAATATTACATTTTGATATAACTATTTTCATGATGTTTATGAATTAGAATTGTACCCTTGACTTTTCTTCATTTCATTCCTTTAGTTTTGGCTTGAGTTTTTACGAAAGAGAGAGGGAGGGGGAGGTTCCATTGATTGAATGTGCAAGTGGCGTTTAATATATAGGAAATGGCCAAAAGATTATTTTAATCAAATTACACAATAGAATTTAGACGCTGATCCAATTACACAATAGAAAATGAAAACATGAATGGTTTTTTTCTCCAACTTTAATTTTCACAACTTTGCAACCAAATTCACCGAGAAAATTATATAAATAAATGAGGTCGTCTAGTCACAGAGAAATGCAAACATTTATTTAAGTCAGTTGTCCCCTTCTGAAGCCATATTTCATAATTTGTGATTGAAGACAATGGAACTGAAGGCAAAGCCTCCCAGAAAAATATACTTTGACATTTATATTTTGGGTATGAAGTGGGAAGAGGGAAAACAAATATTAGATAATAACTTTTTTAACAAATTAATTAAAGAACTGATAAGTAAGAAAGTTATTAGTTTAAATAGTTAAGGCGTGTTTGAAAACATTAATCTATTAAAAGTAAATTATAATATTTATAAGTTGTTTTTAACCTATTAAAATCAATTTTATGATTAAATTTAATAGATTAATTATTATTTTAAAAAAGTGATTATAGTATCAAAACTTGGTCTTAAAAAAATGAAGTAAAAAAAATAAAATTGAAAGACCAAAAAAGTTCAAGCCAAATAAAAAAAATAAAGGTTTAAAAATAAAATTTGACACGGGACATTAAAAAATAACTGAAAAAAATATATAAATCAAGACAATAAAGAAAAAAAAAGTTCAGTAGAGAAGCTCAAATAAAAATTCTTATGTGTTAGTAATAAATTAAAGAATATAAATAAAATATATTAAATTTAAATAGTAAAAATTTTAAGATAAATTATTTAAACATCAAATTCATTTTTTTCTTAATTGAATTCATACTTAAAATTATAATTAAGGAGATAGAAAGAAATTTAAAGATCTAATTATGATAATAAATAAATAATAAATATAAAAAATATAAGAGGTCAAGCTAGCCTCGCAAGTAGGGCAGGCTGCAATGTGCAATAATTTTATATTTTGAATGAAATTGACATGATTAGTACTATTGAGATGGAAATGTAACCATATAAACTACAATTGAGAGATTATAAAACTCGTTTCAATGAAATTGACATGCTTGAATTCGTCTATTTGGTGCGTATTGCATTCGTCATGATTAGTATTTTCGTAATATTATATTTTTAAAGTTTCTAAATGGACTTCATGACTATTTCAAATAAACAAAAACAAAATAAAATATAATATAAATATATGAACATAATCACTATAATTCAATTGATCCTATCAGCAAAGCTGGTCAGTCTTCCTTGCAACCCAATAGCACTTGGTCCCGGAACTTGCAGACAAAATTGGAAAAAAAACTATGTTGAATGAAAATAATACAAATATTAAAGTACGATATATTTTTCATAAAATATAATCATAATTATAAATTACTTATATTTTATTAATTTATTTTTCATTTCCTTTTTTTACTATGTATAGCTTGTGTGTTTTGCTTTATCTTTTGTATTATTATTGATCTAATCTCGTGAAATTTTTAGCATAAAAGTACAATTGTAGTTACATATAGATAAAAATAGTATTTTTAATTATTATAATGAAATTTCATTATCTAAAAAGTATATATTAAAAAAATTTAAAACAACACCTTAATCTTTAATGTAAAAATAGTCGTTTAATACACGTATCAGTATCTACTAGGAATAGCATTTAAATATTCAGTCATTTTCGTCGGAGAAAGTGTATATTCTGAGTTTATAAATAAGTGAAAGCCTCTTGCCAGTTGCCACTGCTAATTAAAGCACGGTCCCTTGAAGTTGAAACAGCCTTATTTTCCAATTTTTGATATCAGACAATGGAAAACTTGCAATTGGATTGGGTGTTAGTGACTGCATTAGCCATACTAGTAGGAGCAATTGCAGAACCAAACCAAACACTTCCTGGCTGCAATTACACATGTGGAAATGTTCAAGTTCCATACCCATTCGGCATAGCCAATTCATCTATACCACATGTGGGGTCATGTTTCTTAGAACCCAAATTTAATCTTACTTGCACTAATGACTCCACATTATATTCTGGTTCCATTGAAGTCCAAGACATAAGCGTCCTAAACCATCAATTGGAGGCATGGACTTACGTCGCATCGTATTGCACTCATATTTTCTCCTATCTAGAAACTGACATTAGTTTCAGCGTTTCAAGCAAGGAAAACAAGTTCATAACCGTTGGTTGTGACAGTTTCGGGTATCTCCAAAGTGTTTACAACGGGGAAACATACACAACGGGGTGCTTAACGAGGTGCAACGGCAATACGAGGAAGATCAACGATGGAACGTGTTCGGGTATTGGGTGTTGCCAAGTGGATGTTCCTCCAGCAATGAGGAATATCACTATTTATGCAGATGTGTTTCCCAATTCGACCGAACATTGGGGAAATTGTAGCTATTCGTTTGTTGTCAAAGATGGGTATTATAATTTTTCCAAAAGTGATTTAAAGAGTTTGCCTTACGCGACGGTGCCGTTGGTTCTTGATTGGACCGTTGGAGACCAAAATTGTAAAGCGTCGAAAAGTGGTGTCGATTATGTGTGCAGGGACAATAGCTATTGTGATGACACCAATACTGACTATGGTTACCGGTGCAGATGTAAGCATGGCTTTGAAGGAAACCCATATATTGGTTGCACAGGTAACTTACCTTCGTCTTCATCATTATTATGTATTTTCTGTGCAGGGACATTTTTTAATATTTAAAAATCTGTGCAACCAATATATGGGTTTGGAGGAAGCCCAAATAATTTTTAATACAATTTAACGTGATTTTAAAAAAAAAATCCATACTTTTAATTTTTAATTAATATCTTAAAAATGCTGGTTAAAAATTTACTAATCTACCGGTTCACAATAACTATTTTTATCTCGATTCAGTGACTTGTCTTTATTTATGTTGGGGACTCGCAGACATTAACGAATGTAAGACATCAAATAATACATGCATAAGCGAAAAAAACTGTCTCAACACCATGGGGTCCTACAAATGTTTCTGCCCCAAGGGCCAATCCGGAAATGGAACAAAGGATGAACCGTGCCACCGAAAAGATGTAGTTACGAAGGTTGTCGCTGGTAAGTAACTTAGCACATTCAATTTAATCTATTTTGTTTATTGTTTTCTCAGATGATATTATTATTATTATTATTATTATTATTATTATTATTATTATAAAATCATTTTTTCAGTATTTTAAAATGAAGAAAATTTATTAAAAAAACATATTTTGGATGAAAATATAAAAAAATATTAAATATTGATTTGTTAATAAAATGCTATTAATGTTTAAACTCAATTTTAATAAGTTGAAATAACAATTTTATTATTGTCGTTGATGTTTCTATTATTATTCTTGTTATTTTTAACGTTTATTTAAAGACACACAATAAAATAATTAATAAATATTATATTTTGATTAAAAATTATAGTATTAAGTATTACCAGTATACTAGATGCCGTAATATCTTGTAATTTTAATAAACTATTAATTTTTACGGTAAATTCTTGAAAATTTATCAGAGAAATTGTTAACTAGTGTTATTTAATAAATTAAATATGAATTTTTTTTTGTTAAGAAACGTTAACTTTGTATTATTTCAGTTATTTTCAATATATCCCAACATAATTTTTAATGAAATTTGCTACTTTTAATTTCTTGAATAATTTTTTAAGTTTGTTTTTGTTGTTTCTGCTGCCCTGTGTTATTATTCCTTTACATTCATGTCCGTTCATTCAGTATGTATGCTATTGATCCTAGTCCAAAGAACAATTCAAGAATTGTTTTCAGCATATTTTGAATGCAGGAGCAACTGCAGGAATTGTTGTTTTATTAGTGGGGCTTACCTCACTGTACTTAATATACCATAAAAGGAAACTCACCAAACTTAGAGAGAAATACTTTCAGCAGAATGGCGGTTCCATTTTGCTACAGCAACTCTCAAATAAATCCTCCAAAATTACCCAAATTTTTACAGAAGAGCAACTAAAGAAGGCCACCAACAACTTTGATGAGAGCTTAATCATTGGAAGAGGAGGTTATGGAACAGTTTTCAAAGGATATCTAGGAGATAACAGAATTGTTGCTGTCAAGAAGTCCAAAATAGTAGATAAGAGTCAAAATGAACAATTCATTAATGAGGTTATTGTTTTATCACAAATCAATCATAGGAATGTTGTCAAACTCTTGGGATGCTGTTTAGAGACAGAAGTTCCTTTATTGGTCTATGAGTTTGTTAACAATGGTACCCTTCTTAATTTTATACAAGCTGAAAGACAGGTTAACAATGCAACATGGAAAACCCGTTTAAGGATTGCAGCAGAGGCAGCTGGTGCATTAGCATATTTGCATTCAGAAGCTTCAATACCTATTATTCATAGAGATGTGAAGACTTCTAACATCCTCTTGGATGACACTTACACTTCCAAAGTGTCTGATTTTGGTGCTTCAAGGTTGGTTCCACTTGACCAAATTGAATTAGCCACAATGGTGCAAGGAACTATTGGTTACCTTGATCCAGAATACATGCAAACAAGTCAATTAACTGAAAAGAGTGATGTGTATAGTTTTGGGGTAGTGTTGGTAGAGTTGCTAACTGGGGAGAAACCTTTTTCTTTTGCCAAGAAAGAAGAGGAAAGAAGTCTTGCTATGCACTTTCTATCTTGCTTGAAAGAGGATCGCTTGTTTGAAGTTGTTCAAGTTGGCATTTTGAATGAAGGAAATAAAAAAGAGATCATGGAGGTTGCTATTCTTGCTGCAAAGTGCTTGAGACTCATTGGAGAGGAAAGGCCTAGCATGAAGGAAGTGGCAATGGAATTGGAGGGAATAAGGGTCATAGAGAAGCACCCATGGATCAAAAGGGACCAAAACCTGGAGGAGACTCAAAACTTGCTTGGTGAAACATCATCTAGTCTTTATGAACACGGTGATAGTGGCAGCCATCAATATACTAATGGGTATGACAGCATCATGGATAGCGTACTAATTGCATTGGACAATGGGAGATGATCATGCCATATGGCAGCATACAACCTTATGTGGATACGTATATACATGTATGCATGTATGAATTCTAATATGTTATGCAAATAAGTTGGAAGAATGTACCCTTCCTTATCGACCTTTCTTGAGTATACAAAGACCATAATCATATTTATATTTTTAATCAAATTCTTATTTCAATTTCTTTCCTTTAGAAAATTATATATTATATATTAAACTACTCTTTCTTCTATATTTTAAAATTATATTCTACTAAATAATAATTGATTAATGATTTAGAACCAATAGTTATAATACTAAAAACAATAACTTCAAAACTTCAGCGACTTTTAATCGTAAAAGTAAAATATGAAATTAATTGTTAATTTGTTTACTAAAATATAAAAAATTACTTCCATCACGAATATAAAATATAAAATAAATCGTTAATTCGATTACTAAAATGGAACAAGTTATTTAACGAAGAAATTAATATCTGATTTATTCCGTCTCACAAGCGAAACATGAATTTGGTCCCCCGTTATACAGAGAATCCTATTCCCAATGAACTAAAGTCATTTTCGTTCAGATGCTTTGTTTGATATTTTTTGTTTTATTATAAAATAATACATTAATTAAGAAACATGTAGAACTTCTATTTTCATGACCCCTTTTTATAAGGAACCGAAGAACAATATTTCTACACCACTTACGTATTTAGAATAGATAAATAATAAAAATATAAGTATAAAATTAACTTCTCATTCAAAATAAAATAAAGTTTCTTACAAGAAATATCCAATAGAACAGCATAATATTATATTTAGTTCATAATATTCAAAATATACAAAATTATACTACATAGCTCCCTCTATATGAGGTCTCAAAATATAAGAAAATAGGACTTTAATGCAAAATTACTCGACTCCAGCTTCTAACATTTCTCTATTGGCCCCTCAGTCTGTGAAGTAGATGCAACACCTGCTACATCTGCTCACGTATTACTGTACGATCATCACAGTACACACGCACACAACAGGATAGACATAAATGCAAGGGTGAGCTTACAAAAATAAAATAAAATCATATATATATATAGAGAGAAAAATATTACTCATAGCAACAACCTCATGTATTCCCAACCCATCTAATGCACAGCATGAAAACGGTTTTCAACTAGTTTCTCAACCTAAGTAATCCAGAAGGAACTGAGCCGGTCTAGGAGTGACTCATTCCTATATCTGGATCTAAACAGCACAGCACAGCACAGCTCAGCATGCTCTATCGTTACACGTTTACCCACATAAATGTGTAACTCAACTCTATAATGATGCAAGACATATATCTCAGCATGATACAGCACATCTAAAATCATTTCAACAGCTCAACCAAGACAAGTTTATAATAAATCAGCTAAATCTTAGTGTTATTAAATCAGTTATCAGTAATTACAGCATAGAAAAATAACTTTCAAGTATTAAATCCTTTATATCTCAAATTTTATCAAAGAGATCTAACAAAACCAACCCAAACCTTTCTTTAATAGTGATAAGTCTATAATTAGATCCTCTTTTAGAGCCTATATATTCATATTTGACCTTTATTTTATTTGGATTTTACACTAATTTATATATTAATTGTACATTTTGGTATAAAAAAGTCGCAAGTGGATTTTGGGTGCATTCTGGGCCCAAATTGATAGAAGATTAGAGTTTCGCAGCAGTCAGCACGCCCAGACCCATTCAATAAGCACGGGGGTGCTTTGAGCCCATGCACGATCATGCTTAAGGCCTCGCACGGCTGTGCTCATCTGCGGGAAGCCCAATTATAAAGAGTCTTTAGGGTTTTCAAACCTTATTAAAAGGGAGACCTCATGCATCGTAGTGGACACCATTTTTATCTTGGCTTTTGCTTTAAGATACTCTCATCTCGTCTCTCTTGCACAGGATCTTTGGCATACTCTTAGCGAGACTTGGAGATTCGAGCGACCGTACTTGAAGATTGGGAACTCATCTCATTCTAGTTTGCTATTTCTTTTAATTATGTCTTTGTTTATGAATGTTTTAGTTCTTTTCTTTAGCATGAGTAACTAAATCCATAGCTAGGGCTATGGGAACTATTGTTCATGAGTTTATGGGATTTTGACGTTTGAATATAAATTTGATTTCCGTTTCGTGATTAGATTTTATCCTATTGTGCTTCTCTCTTAATCCTAATTAATTATATTGTCAGGCGACCGTACCTCGATTAATTAATAGATCTATAGGATAAAATGAGACAAAGGATTAGGTGGACCAAACCAATCTTTTTCTTCTAATTGTTATTAAATTAACAAGTTCATAGGTTCCTTAAGGTTTCTTAAATTGATGACCTGCATGACCATTTGAGATGTTAATTTAGAGAAGAGAATATTAATATTACATGACCATTGGGTATTAATAGTATTCGTATGAATGATTAGTAATCACAAGGAAATCATATTTAGAGTTAAATAGAAAAATAACATAAAGGATTGAATGAGAAAACCTATATGCCCTAGGTTTCTCTCTGATAAGTTTAACCAAGACGTGCATTGTATTCATTATTCTTAATTTTATAATTAATTTTATAAATTCTTGTTTTAATTAATATCGTATATTTTAAGCTTAAACAATAGAATTAGGAAATTCTTAGTAATTGGAAAACAATCCTTGTGGGTCGATATTTCATAAACTTAATTTAAGAACCTTTTATTACTTCTCGATGGGTACACTTCCCTCCGAAGAAGTTTTTGGCGCTGTTACACGGGATTGCTTTTTCAATATTAAGAAAATCTCAAGTTTAATTGATTTGAGCAATTTATGTTTTACTTTACTTTTAATTCTATTTTTGTTTATTGTTAATTTTTTTTTATAATATTTGTTTTTATTTTTTTTTATTTTTTTTATTTCATAATTCTTTCTAGTGTATGCTCACTTATTCTAGTTTATTTGATCCAGAAATTGAGAGAACAACGCATAAATAAAGAAAAAAAGTGAGAAAGCAAAGAATAGTAGAGGAAAGAAGATCAATTCAAGATTACATGACACCTACTGCTAGAGGTACCCTTGGAAGCATTGTGGCTCCTAATGTGGAGGCCAATAATTTTGAACTTAAACCAACACTCATAACCATGGTCTAGAACTCTATACAGTATGGAGGCATGCCTAACGAAGACCCTAATTTCCATCTGACAAAGTTCCTCCGATTGACGGATACCATCAAATACAATAGAGTCTACAACGATGCTATCCAACTCCGTCTTTTTCCGTTCTCAATATTTGAAAAGGTGAATGCTTGGTTCGCCTCACTCCCAGCCAATTCCATCGCAACTTGGGAGGACCTTACTCAACAATTCTTAGGAAAATACTTTCCTCCATCAAGGTCCTCAAAACTCATGATGGAGATATGTTGCTTCCAACAATACGAAGCATAATCCTTGTTTGAGGCATGGGAGTGGTTTGGAAAGCTTTTAAGATATCCTCATCATGATTTTCTGACATGGAAATAGGTGCAAATCTTTTACAGTGGCTTATCAATTTCCACCAGGGCTACAATTGACGCCGCAGCAGGAAGGTCCCTCATAAGAAAAGATCCAGATGATGCATACAAGCTAATAGATGAGATGACATCATCCAGTTTTCAGTGGCACACTACTAACTCTTACGACATCAAGAGGAAAGAGACTGTCCCAGTCTACCAAACAAAGAGCAGTAACCCACTAATGAACCAAATGACAACCCTTGCAGAGTAACTAGAATCTTTAATGAAGGCTCAAGACCAACCTGTAAGAGCTCCTGCAAGCCCAAAATTTAAGCAAGAGGAGCAAATTTCATAGGCAATCACAATTTGGGGTGGAGGAGTAATCCTCCTAACTCTTGGGGGAATGGCTTTGGAAGTCAAAATTCAAGCGTGTATCGCCCTCCCCATATGCAAAATCAAGGAGCAAGATCAGAAGGAAAAGAAGCCCCTAGATCTTAGTCCAACTTTCAAGAACAAATGATGCAATATGTGCATTACTCTGATAAAAGGATGACAGAGATTGAATCCAAGTAGGACCAACATATTGAGAGAACTGATAAAAAGTTCACAGAGGTTAAATCTGAAATACAATTAAACTCTTCTAAGATGAGTGCACAATTAGAGCAAATTACGAACCTTCTGAGTCAAAGAGTGATGGGAACACTACCATCTTAGCTTGAACCTAATCCAAGGGAGCAATGCAATGCCATCACCCTTAGAAGTGGAAAGAAATTACAAGAATCGCAGAACAGAGGCATATACACGCCCATGCTTGCTGAGAAGCACCCCATGCTAATTCTACAAGCACTCTCGTGTTTACTGATAAGCACGCCCCTAATGAAATTGAAACATGACCGTGCTTATATAAGCACGCCCATGATAATGATCAAAACACGGCTGTGCATCACCATGAGCAAGGTCGTGCTACAAACGAAGAGCGTAAAAAGGAAAAGAAGAAAGAACTTCTTCTTCAACCAAAGCTCTATGAGCCTAAGATACCTTTTTCCATAGCGGCTGCAAGGTCACCCTCCTTATGATGAAGAGTTTCATAAGTTCTTAGACTTATTAGGCAAAGTGCACATCAATATGCTTTTCATTGATGCTATCTCCAAAATGTCAAAATATGCTAAATTTTTAAAGGAGATTTTGACCAATAAGAGGAAGTTGAAAGCATATGAGACTGTGAGGCTCACCTAGAAGTGCTCAGCTATAGTCCTTAAAAAGCTTCCACCTAAGCTTAAGGACCTAGGGAGTTTTACTATTCCTTGCATGATTGGAAAAATTCATATTAATAAGGCTTTATGTGATTTAGGAGCAAGTATTAATCTTATGCCTTATTCTGTTTTCAGGAAACTTGGAATGCATAGACCTAAGTCGACCTCCATGTCACTTCAGCTAGCAGATAGGTTGATCACATATCCTAAAGGCATAATGGAGAATGTACTTATAAAAGTTAGGGAGTTTATATTTTCGGCTGACTTTGTGGTGCTTGACATGGAGGAAGATGATGATGTCCCTATCATACTAGGGAGACCATTCTTAGCCATTGCAAGGGCCATCATAGACGTACAAGAAGGGAAGCTCACACTGAGGCTAGATGATAAGGAAGCTGTATTTCAAGTTTTCAATTCTTTCAAGTACCCTTCTAGCCAAGAGTCTTGTCACTTTGTGAGCACTGTGGATGTTGCTTCTTCCCCTCCAATTTATGTGAAGCATGGAATCCCAAGAAGAAGGCCAAGGAAGAAGCAATATAAGAAGAAGAAAAAACAAAATTTTAAACCATCCATTAATAAGCCTCCTAATTTAGAGCTTAAATTTTCTTCTCTTTATTCTAATCCTCATCTTATGAATACTTTTTTCTGATGTAATAGGTGTTGGGGAGACAAAGCTGTTGGGGAAACGATTACATATCAAGGGAGTCACCTTTGAGACTCATGCCTTCTTCCCACCATGATTTAACAGGAACATCAGGCTCGTGACATTCAACAAGCGCTCCTAAGAGGCAACTATGTCTTTTATTTTATTTAAATTTTATTTCTTTTTGTTTATTTTAATTTTGCTATTGTTATTTTATTTTTAAAATAAAGAATAAGCATATTGAAAGATTGCACGAACCGAGTTGATTGTTCCCGCACATACTTTTAAGCTCTAATCCGAAAGCACGCCCATGGTCAAATCATACATGGTCGTGCATTTAGTCATAGTTGTGAGAGAAGCGTTACATCGTACGCATGGGCATGCTTAAGATTTCAGCATGGCCTTGCTCCCTCACTTGAAGCCATTGCACCAAGAATTATCAGGGAACCTCTTTCCTTTTATTCAATTGCCCTCTTTGCATGCTTTTAATTTGATTGCTTTCAAACATTGAGGACAATGTTTTGCTTTAAGTATGGGGGAGTAGTTCCTAATTATATGATTGTTATTGCATGTTCTCTACTGGCCCCTCAGCCTGTGAAGTAGATGCAACACCTGCTAAATCTGCTCATGTATCACCGTACGGTCATCGCAGTACACACGTGATGAACGGATTATTTTTCTCATTTTGCATAAAGATTTGTCGTCAACCTTCATCAAAGTATGCAGAAAAATTTGTAGTCTCTAGGATGCAAGCCTAGGTTGTCTCCGATGACTTTGGTTTGTAATATAAATTGAACATGTTGTAAACATTTACTATGAAAGTAATTAAAACAAGGGGGTTTTGTGTTATTCCAATTTTAATGTAAAGGCAAGTGATGAAATTAATGAATCCAATCAATGAAATGTGCAATCCTTAGTTTGTTCATGTAATTCTATCCCTATCCCTCTCAAGATTCAATACTTTTCCTCTTCCTCTGAATTAGGGTAACTCAAAAAGTAAGAATTAAAGTCCCATACGAATTAAGCAATTTACATGGGCTCCAACCCTTTTCCCTAAGATTACACAACCTTAGAAACTAACTTAGGATTAAGCAAACCAAGTTAAGAATTTCATTAAAACGAATTAGGGTTAATTAAGCAATGTCCCCCTCATTCAAACATTAATTCAATTCAAAGAGTTGGGAAATATAAATTCATAAAGGAAAGGGAATTATATTGACATTCATACCTAGAAATTCAAGAATCCATGAGCTCACTAAGGATTACAAGAAAGTTTAGCCCTCCATGAGGATGGGTCTTAAAAATTTAAGATGAAAGCAAAAGGAATCCAATGACATCAATGCAAGAATTAAAGGAAAGTGAAGAGAAATTGTAAATCAAACCCTAAGATTGACCTTGGCTATCACCCACGGATCCTAAGCTTTGCAAAATGCTCCCAAAGTGGTAAAAGAATAAAAAATTATGAGAAGATTTGTACCTTAATTTCTAAAAATCTATATATACTAAGTCTGACATGGCCTCATAGTGCTCACTCTGTAAACAAGAATGATTACGCGCAACAACTTTTAACTTTTCCCTTTCTAGAGTGATCACTCTCACTTCTGAGAGTGTTTACGCGTAGACACTGTGATTCTGGAGCTTTCTGGAGTGATCACTATTACTTCTGAGAGTGGTTACTCAGGCCTACCCTTTGGAATCAGCTCCCTAGAGTGATCACTATGGTACTTGAGAGTGATTACTCTCAGTTCATATTTGCCACAGAGCCAAAAATTCATGAAATTTGTCTAGAATTTCCTGCACAATTATTCAAATGATCAAAATTACAAAATATATTCACAAAAATTAGTGGAAATAAAACAAAAATTAAGAAAGCTATAATATTTGACCTAAATGAGGTTTTTATGTTATTTACAATCTCTAAGTTTATTTTTCATATTAAAAATCTATAAAAGCTAGATAAAATATCTATAAATTGTGGATTCATCAACACGCACACAACAACATAGACAGAAATGGAAGGTTGGGCTTACAAAAATAAAATAAAATCATATATATAGAGAGAGAGAGAGCAAAAAATTACTCACAGCAACAACCCTATGCATTCCTAGCCTATCTAATGCACAATATGAAAACGGTTTTCAACTGATTTCACAGCCTAAGTAATCCAGAAGGAACCAAGTTGGTCCAGAAGCGACCCATTCCAATATTTGGATCTAGACAGCACAACACAACACAGCTTAGTATGCTCTATCATTACACGTCTACCCATCAAAACGTGTAACTTAATTCTATAATGATGCAAGACGTATATCTCAGCATGATGCAGCATGACTTAAATCATTTCAATAGCTTAGCTAAGACAAGTTTATAATAAATTAGCCAAATCTTAGTGTTATTAAATCAATTATCAGCAATTACAACATAGAAAAATAACTTTCAAGTATTAAATCCTTTATATCTCAGATTTTATCAAAGAGATCTAACAAAACCAACTCAAACCTTTCTTTAATAGCATATCAAACCATTCAAAATATAGTTCATTGGCAAAAGTAAGCTCCCCTTACCTTAAAATGGGGATTCACACTAGATCTACCGAATATTACTTGTTTTAACGCAAGATTCACCGAAGATTTCGCTTTAGAACAAAGTCTCTCCTAAGAACACCATGAACTTCTTTGAGAAAGAGAAGAAGAAGAGAAATGAATTGTGAATCTAACTTCAAACATAGAGAAACTTACTTCAAATCCCTTAGAACAGATGTAGAATTACAGACCTGAAGAGAAATCGAAGTTTAAGAAGGTTTAGTATGAGACAAATGGTGATATATGGCCTTGGAACCTTTGAGAAGTATGAAGAAGGGAAATTTTCATAAAGAATCCCTATTTATAAAAAAAAATAAAATTGATACTATTCATGCCAGAGTTACTATTCACACCATCTTACTGTTCACATCGACATTGTTCACGTGTACTATTCACTTTTTTTTAATTATTTATAAATTTGAATCTCTATCTAAATCTATTTCAATACCAAATAATCTTTCAGTTAACATTTAACAAATACAAAATATTATAGATTACTCAATAATAAATTACAAGTCTGACATTTATCCTTTC